CAGATAAAAGGGAAATGATATCAGAAGGAAACCTAGAACATCAAGAATGGAGAAAGTAATAGAAATAGGAAGTATCTGTGTAAACATTATAGGCTATTCCTCCCCTTTTTGAATTACTTACAATGCATTTGATGGTTCTGACATTGTCTGGTAGAGTTTCCAATGAATGTAGATGTAATTGATTTTAGACGACAGCTATGACATAAATGGGGAAGAGGGAAGGAACGTATGCTGGTAAGACCTCTGCATTCCACTTAATATGGTAAAACAGTGATTATTTTTTAAGATTTTATTTTTAGGTAATCTTTACACCCAACATGGGGCTAAAACTCCCAACCCTGAGATCAAGAGTTGCACGCTCTACTGACCCATAAAACAGCAAGTGGAAAGTTAAATGTGTATACTCAGATGCCTAGAGCAACCACTTAAAAAGTATAAGAAGATAATTAAAAACATAATTGATGTATTAAAATCAAATACTGAAAAGTGTTTCAATAACCCCAAGTGAGTACATAAAGGGTGCACACGATGATGGAAGTTGAAAAATCCCATGGTTTGCAGTCTGCAGGCAGAGCCAGGAAAGCTGTGTCCTAAGACCCGAGAACCAGGGGAGCTGATGATAAAAGTTCCAACCTGAGTCTAAAGGCCCGAAAACCAGAAGTACTAATGTCCAGGGGCAGGAGGCGATGGACATCCCAGCTCAAGCAGAGAATGCAGTCACCCTTCCTCCACCTTTTTGTTCTGTATGGGCCCTTGAAGGACTGGCTGATACCCACCACATGAGTGAAGACATCTTCTGTACTCAGCCTACTAATTCCAATGCTGATCTCTTCCAGAAACATCTGCACAGACATACTCAGATATAATGTTTTACCATCTATCTGGGCATCCCTTCACCCTATCACACTGACATATAAAATTAACCATCACCATGGGCAACTGGGAATAAACCCTACTGGGGACCCCTGGGGATCTGTGCAGAACTTGTCTCAGATTTTCCCTGCTGGGGATGGATCTGCTGGAATTTTTATCCACTAAACTTGGTTCTTAACTGGTTGAGAGCTGCCTCTGGGGGTGTGGAGTCCCAGACACCTCAGAGCTGTCTTGAGCACAGGTAGGCAAGATCCCTGGCATTCAAGAAAACTCACAGGAAAAGATGCAGAGTCCTAGCTTGAGATGGGAAGCTGTTGGCATGTACAGACACAGTCTCCCTGAAGCTACAGGGGAACTCAGAGATGGGCTGGGGAATATATGTTGTATGTATATCTTCCTTCCCTAAGCTTCAGTTGCCTTGAGGCAGGAACCATGTGTCGTGGTGGCCAGAGACCACAGAGATCATACAGTGAATGTATGATCAGGAAAAGTAGGCTAGATGGTAGGGGTCAACCTAACTAATAAAAACCGGACGTAGACCAATGCAATGAATTGAACATTATGCTTAGCTGTGTCCTTAGATGCACAGATGCAGGGGTTAGCACTGGCAACATGGTGAAGCCTGTATTATCAGAGGAGTGTCTCTTAATTTCCCTGGGATCTATAAGTAGGTAGGTGCGATGGTCTGAATATTTGCATCCCCCCAAAATTCATATGTTGAAATCCTAACCCTCAAGGTGATAAGATAGCATTTGTAAGTGGAGCCCTTGTGAGGTGATTAGGGCCTAAGGGTGGACCCTTCATGAATGGAATTAGTGCCCTTATAGAAAAAAGATCCCAGAGTGATCTGTTGTCCCTTCCTCCATGCGAGGACGCAGTGAAAAGGCACCATCTATGAGCCAGAAAGCAGGTCCCCACCAGACACCAATTCTGCCAGAGTCTCATACTGGCTTCCCAACCTCTAGAACCATGAGAAATAAATTTCTATTGTATTTTGTTACAACAGCCTGAACAGACAGTAGGCTTGGGACTTTCCCAATTGCTCCTGTTTCTGAGGATCAAAGGAGTTAAGTGGTTTGAGATATATTAAGCTTGAGGCATGGGATGCCCAGCGTTTAGTGGGATTGAGCAGTGGTGGCCAGTCCCCTTCTCCCAGCAGCAAAGTGACCACAGGTATCAGAATGTTAAACGTACAAATCTTGTAGTCAAAGAATTCTCTGTGTGGGTTCTTGGGCTTGAGATTGGCATGACTGCTCTGTAGGGGATCCTAATGCTCAGAGGGTACCATGAACCTCAAAGGCAGAGCAAGGTTCCAGGCCTGCCAAACCCTATGTCTGGAAGGATGTAGATGGAAGAGAAACCAAGAAGACACTGTGGGTGGGGATGGCTGCCCGTCCAGCTGTGATTCCATCTTGCCTTTCATCTGCCTTAGAAATGATCTGTGAGGGGAGGAGGGATCAGAACCCAGGCATTGGGAGCAACCAGGGCTCTGCTCTCCGAATCCCACATCCCAACCTTCCCCCTGTTCTGATCCCACCTCTCTCATCTCGGAGGCTCCAGTCTGTTCCAAACCCTACCCGTCCTGGCTCCAGACAAGTCTGTAGAGTTTGCTTGAAAATAGGCTTTAATGATCCAAATTTGGGTCAGACCGAAGTTGTCCTTTAAAAAAAAAGATTTTATGGGGCACCTGAGTGGCTCAGTGGGTTGAAGCCTCTGCCTTCGGCTCAGGTCATGATCCCAGGGTCCTGGGATCGAACCCTGCATCTGGCTCTCTGCTCAGTAGGGAGCCTGCTTCCCCCTATCTCTGCCTGCCTCTCTGCCTACTTGTGATCTATTTGTTAAATAAATAAATTTTTTAAAAAAGATTTTATTTATTCATCTGAGAGAGACACACAAATACAGCACAAGCGAGGGAAGAGGCAGATGGAGAGGGTGAAGCAGACTCCCCACTGAGCTGGGAGCCTGACATGGAGCTCGATCTCAGGACCTGGAGACAGTGACCCAAGCTAAAGGCAGACGCCCAACCATCTGAGCCACCCAGGTGCCCCTGAAACTGTCCTTCTTGAAAGCACCAAGACGGTGTGGGGGATGGGAAGTCTCCCCTTAGGCCTCAAATCAGCTGTGAGGTTGTGACTCGTGACTCATGACTCAGACTAGGGAATGGCTCAAAGCCAGTCTAAAATGGGAAGAAACAAGGAATTTTCAATGAATGCTCTGAGGCAGGGATTGCAACTCCTTTCCCCACCCCTCCCCACCAAATTCAGAGCAGGTCTCCATGGCAGTCTTGATGTGAATAAGGTCTGAGACAAGGGACTCTGGTGCTCTCAGACCACAGGCCTTTCCCCATCCCCATCTTTAATCTTATCTCCTTCCAGGGATTTTCCATGAAACGCAGAGCTCTTTGGTACCCCGGGCCTGGAGAATGGCAGCTCCTTGTTTACACACTTGGTAGAACCATGGCAACCGGTCCCCATCGCCGGGTCAGTCACAGGACCAACGATGTGGCCCAGCAACCAATCCAAACTAAGGAAGCGTGGCAGCCATGGTGACACAGAGGAGGACCAGTTTCTTTGAAAGGGGTAAAAGGCTGGAGCGCCTCTGAGGGGCAGGCTGCCTCTGGGTGGAGTCCAGCTCAGAGCTTTCCAACCACGCTGCCTCGACCTTAGTCCAGGGTCCCGCCTGGACAACTCGGTAGCCCCAAACAGTTTGACTTGGTTCTACTCTTATCTGTTTCATAATCCATCTTCCAGCAGCATCGCTGTATCTTTTTTTTTTTTTCTTTAGGATTTTATTTATTTAGCGGTGCCTGGGTGGCTCAGTGGTTAAGCCTCTGCCTTCAGCTCAGGTCATGATCTCAGGGTCCTGGGATCAAGCCCCGCATCAGGCTCTCTGCTCAGCGGGGAGCCTGTTTCCCACCCCCCTCTCTCTGCCTGCCTCTCTGCCTACTTGTGATCTCTCTCTGTCACATAAATAAATGAAATCTTTTTTTTTAAAGATTTCATTTATTTATGTGACAGAGAGAGAGAGACACCAAGAGGGAACACACGCAGGGGGAGTGGGAGAGGGAGAAGCAGACTTCCTGCCAAGCAGGGAGCCCAATGCGGGGCTCCATCCCAGGACTCTGGAATCATGACGGGAGCCGAAGGCAGAGGCTTAACGACTGAGCCGCCCAGGCGCCCCAACATGACTGTATGTTTATAAAATATTTATCACATTGCTCTTGCTTGTCTTGCTGTCTGTTCTCTAAAGAAGCCTGCAATCTCGCCCAGGGGCAATTGTACTGGTCACCCTCTCTGACTTAGGGATTCTTCTGCCAGATCTTCCTGGGGCTGCTTCCTTGTGTCCCTTAGGTCAAAGTCCAAATGTCACCTCCTCATGCTTTCATTAGTGTGGAGAAGTCAGATGTGCACATGTGCGAAGCAGCCCACCCTCTACTGGGGGCCCTGGAGACAAAGGGTGGGGCGGGGGTTGGGGGGAAGGTGGGGTCAGGAGACCAGGTCTGGCCCTGCTCCAGGCCTGCCCACTCAGGTTCTCAGCTGGAAAGATGGATGATAACCAAGAGGTGAGTAGTTTTCTTCCTGGGCTCCCAAGAGCTCAAGTGTCCAAAGGGATGCCTGAGAGCGTTTTCTCCAGGTGACTTCTTTCACACCACAGAGAAGAGCAAAGGGGAGGCCAGATGTGAGGGGTTCTGAGTACTCCTGTCCCGTTTAAGGATCATAGCTTTAGATTTATATATAGAGAGGTATCTCTGTATATATGTATGTATGTGTGTGTATAGGGAAAGAGAAATTTACATAGATACATAGGGATGGATGGTTGGATGGATGGATGGGCAAGGAAAAGCTTAGGGTCATGTCATACTCAAAATTTTCTTAGAAAGAGAGCCCATATTATTTTTTAAGTTGTAAAACCTCCAAAGTAGATTTCTGTGGGCCCTTTAAGCTCTGTGCCTGTGCTGGGTCTTACTTAAGAGGCCACTGGAGGCCCCCCAGTCCCTGCACCCTGCAGCTGGGGGAAATCTGGAAAGTTCTGTGAGAAAGTGGGGATGCCCTCCGGTGGGGAAAGGAGGATTTCCCCTCAATCCAGCAACCACTGGAGTTGTTCGTATATTCTCTTTAATCCACACAGCAACACCAAGGGGTCGCCTTTATTACCATTCCCATTTTACAGATGTGGAAGAAGGGACATGAAGAGCCTAGGGAAGGTGTCCAAGGTCATAGCTGGGCAGCGCCAGAACCAGGATTGGGCTGGCTCTGTACAGAAAGCTCTGTTCTTTTCCATCCTCCAGGCCCTCTCTTCCAGAAGGTTCTCCATCAGCCTCAGTGAAGTCTTGTCATCCCTTATCAACCAACGTCTATTCCCTCCTTTACCCTGCCTCCCTCTATAAACAGGCCCTTGGTAGGCTCAGTCTTCCTAGACAAGGCCAGGCCCTCACCTGCGGTGCTCATCTCTTGGTTCTGGAACTCTGAAACCATTTCCTAGTCCAAGCATTGTTCCTTATTCACCTTGATCACTGGGCTCTGAGGGGAAGGAAGGCAGGAGTCAAAGGTGAAGAGGAAATGGTGAAAAGGCCCAGAGGAAAAGAGATGGGATCCAAATGAAGAATTTCTAAATTCCTGAGGGCCCCTCACCTTAGGGAAAAACAGTCAGAATTTCTCTTTGCACTTGTCCCTAGAAGACAAAGACTAAGTCAGGGAATAACCAAGCAGTGGCCATGTGACCCAATCCCCTCCCTTTGCAGACAACACCAGTATCATGGGATTGCTTCAGGCAGAAATCAGACAGGTGCTCTCTCCATTCTATTCACTGGACTTCTGATGTCTCCTACCTACAGCCCTGACGCTCCTTCCCTTCCCAGTCGTTCTGTCTATCAGTCACATGCAGTGTGGACAGACCACAGGTCTCACACACCTCGGCATGGTGGTTTTGGTGGAAAAGGCTGTCTACCCCTCTCTCAGGCAGGTCTCTGAGGCATGGAGCCTGGGCATGTACTCCATCTTCTGGGTCTTCACATTTTGAGGGATGTCATCCTTCCAGAACAGTCCTGCAGGAAGAAAGGGAGGAGCGTGAGGTGACACTTGGAACAGCTGGATTGGCCCTCCCCAGAAACCAGAGTGTGATTAGAATTTCTGCTTTCACCCAAGCATAAGGACCACAGGGAACTGGAAGGATCCAGAGATGGGCTAGGGTACAGGAGTTTGCCTTCTGCCCACTTCAGCATTGGAATCCCTGCTCTTCCTAGTTCTGTGGCCCTGGGAAACTTAATTAAATTGGCCAAGTTTCAGTTTTCTCATCCGTGAAACGATGAACCATTGTTGAGAGAATTACAGGAGATAATCCATGTAAGTTTCTTAGCACGGTGCTTGGTGTGCAGTAGGTGGTCAAATGTGAGTTTAACAACGGTGCTGCTACGAGACCTGAATGAAGCTGAGGATGAACAGTGGTTTCAAAACTCTAAGGCATTACTTGCACATTAGATACCATGATCATTAGTAGCAGTCATCTGAACTCCAAGCAGCTCTCCCTTCTGAACCTTGCAACCATGAAACCCTGTTTCCAAGAAGGGTATGACACTTTTCCCCAAGAAATCCCCTCCCACTCTCCACCCGCCTCTGTCATACCTCTATTTGCCATATACTCTGAGCTGTCTACTCTTCCCAGTTCAGAATCTGGAATATGGTGTGGGGGAGGGGAGGGTCTGACTGGAGCCTCCATGATTCCTGGCTCTGAGCACTTGGATAGCAATGTGGGGTGAGGTACGGGGCTCGTCCCAAGATTCTGGATGCTGACCTCTTCCAGGGACTTCTAATCGCCTCTACTGCACTCCTCTAAAGAAGGCAAGTGAGAACAGCTTCCCTACAAAGCCTGGGAGACCCCCACCCCTGTCTCGCTCTGGGTCTGGGCTGGTGAGGTTCCAACGGTGAGTGTGATGAGAAAGTTTCAGGCACAGAAATTTGTGGAAGGTGCTTTTCATGTCAAGTTGGGGACCCCTCCCCCACCTTTGCACCTGACAGCCTAGTCTCTCTCTTTCAGCTCTTCTGTGCTCACCTTGAGGCACAAGCCGCTGGAGGACACTTCGGAAGTATGGGAAGGCCAGGCTGGTGACTTCTCGCCGGGACCTGACCAGCTGCATTCCCACTTGGCCCTGTCCCCCTAAGGACACAGAATGGCGTTAGCAGGGATGTTGGCCGAAAGCCTTCAGGAGGTGCGGGGTGCAGGAAAGCCGCCCCCTTTCCACCATCACTCTCAGATCCCTCCCACTTCCCGGGTGATCTGCTCTCCCTTCATCTCCACCCCTGGCTCTTTATCCGCTGGGTCTCACTCACCCCCAGCACAGACTTCCAAGTAAGAGCAGAGTCTTCGGGCCAAGAGCCAGCCTGTAGATGGACAGGTGAGCAGAGCCTCAGAGGGCTACAAAAACTGAACGGACAGACAGGCGAACAGGCTAGGGATGGGGGAAGAATTTCGGCTGCTTCCCAGGTGGGGAGCTGAAAAGAGTTCTGGAATCCTTGGAAGAATAAACCTGGAACCTGGGTTCAGACTGTTAGGGCGGGCAGCCCAGGTTCTCACCCTGGAAGCCACAGGATACCCAGCTGCGCGTTGTGGGGAATAACCTTTCCACCACACAGACCCTCCTCAGTCCAGGTAGACAGGGTGGGGTTGGGGAGAATCCAGAAGGCCCAGGGTTCCGGCATCTGCACCGGGCCTGCCGCTCCTTCGCGCGCACCCAGCACTCCGCGGAGCGCCGGCACCGCCTGGAGTCCTTCACACTGGTTTCCAAGGTCAAGGACCGGCGGAGAACAGGTGGAGGAGGAGGGAGGGGCACGAGTGCGGGGAAGGCTAGGCGTCCTCCCATAGCGGGAGGGTAAGTAAGCCCAGGGGCCTGGCTGGGCCCAGTCATCTACCCGAGGTCATCAGGACTGGATGCCCGAAAGGCCCGGCTCCTTCTGCCTACTGCTAGGCTCCGGGCACCTCCGCCCTGGTCCTCAGCGCGTGCTGTTTCTCCCGTAGCCTTGTGGCCCGGATCTGTATCCCCTGGGCCACTCGGGGGTCCTCTCCATTCCTCCTGCTGAACCCCCAGCCTCCCTTGGGGCCGGCTTCTTTTCCGTCCTACCTCCACCTTCCGATTTTCAACGCCTCCAAACCTCCCCACCCCCGCCTTCAAGACGCCCTCGGCTCTCCCCACCCCTCACTGTTCCCGGAGCTTCACACACCCACCGCTCCCGCAGCCCACGTTTCCCGGCCCTCCCCCCAGCTTTCCTCCTGACCGTGGGGACTAACGGCGTGCCAGCCCCCCGGGCAGCTGCTCAACAGCAGGAAGCAAAGAATCAGACGCATCCCCACAGGTCCCCGGGCCCCCCGCGCCCGCCGCGCCGGCTGCTGCATGGCTGCTCCCGAGCGTCTGCTCTAGCGCGCGAACCTCCGCGGCCAAGGCCAGACCCCGACGACAGCTGCGAGCGCCCCCCTGCGGCAGCTCGGCCAATGGCGCGGCTTGTAACAAGGCCCCCAGCCCCAGCTCTTGGGGTCTTGGCGTCAGAGTCCTGCTTTTAAGATGGGTTGCTCCCAAATATAATTGACCCTCGCTCTAAAACCCCCTCCAGATACCCCCATCACACACCACAGGAGCATCGCCCCATCTCCTTCTCTCCAAGGATTAAAGATTGGGGGGACAGGGGAGGTGGGTCTCACGTGGAATTGAAAATCAGTAAACAGCACCTGGGCACCGTTCTTGAGAAGTAGGATGCCCTATTTGGGTACTCCTTAAGACCGTGTGCTGGGTAAGATTGCCTGGGGTCAGCCCGAGCACCTGCAGTCAGCCCTTTAACTTCTCTGGGCCCCTGTTCACCTCTAAGACGAGGATGATTCTAGTATGTAGCTCACAGTGTTTCTAGAAGGATTAATTAGTTTAATACCCTGGGGAAGCATTTAGAAGTAGGACCGGAGTGGCACATAGTAAGCACTCATTTAACATTGGCCATGACTGTCTTCTGACCCTGCCTTTCTATCATTGCCCCCCCACCCCACCCCCAGCCACCCCAGGCCTTGATAAGCTTTCTCCCTGCAAAAATGTTCTCCTGTCAGTCCATGTCTTTTCCAGACCCCTACCACTGCCATCATCTCTTACCTGCTGAGATTGCTTCTCATCTGGTTGCTTGGAGCAACTGATAACTTGGGCTGTGATCCAGGAGCCTAGAATTCATGTTGTTCCACTCTTGCCTCCCAATAATCTCTTTTATAAGCACCAGGAGGAGCTAACTAAAATAGAAATTGAAGCATGTTTCTCCGTTGCTTACCCCTCTTCCATAGCTTTCCTTTACACCGCAGACTAGTTGTTGATCCCCCCCACCATGCCAAGAAGACGCAGCATGACCTAGCCTCCCCTCCGTCCGTGTTCCAGCCACACCAGTTTCCTCTCCATTCATGAACGCCTGAGCTCTTCTTCCCTCCTCTCCCTGCCCTCACAGTTGTCCCTCTGTTTCAGCATAAACAGCACCCTGTCAGAGATGTGTTTCTTCTCCCTACGCAGAATTACCGCCTCACTTCTGTCCCTCTTCTCCTCCGCAACGCACACCACAATTTATAATGACTTGTTCCTTTCTGCCTCTTCCTTGGAGTGTAGTTGCAAGAGGGCTGGGGGGGGGGGGATGGGGGGATATGTCAGGGTCTAGCTCCAGATCCATCTCAGATTCTCAGTACATATTTGTTGAATAAACGAAAGGAATTGGTGGTCCAGAGAAAGGTATGAAATGTCTCTGCCTCAGTGTTCTCATCCGTTAGATGGGCTCCGCGTGAGGTAGCCTCGTGAGAATGGAATCCGACGATGGATGTAAGAACAGCGCATGCTCCACAAACACGGTGGGCGTGGAATTCTGCTCCACCTCAGCTTCGGCCTCCCTGGGATTCTCCCAGCACAGCCCAAGCTCTCCAGGTGGGTGGGAGACCTTGAGACCCAGAAGGGCAGGCCCGGTCTGGAGGAGCATCAGGAGCAGGACTCAGGAGTCCTGCTTCACAGCTCATCCGCGAGATGGGAGAGCCCCCAGCTAGTCCCAGAGCACAGAGGCTGCCCATCCTGATGGGGAGGGGGATCCCTGAGGCAGCCTTACCAAAGCCGGACTAAAGCCTCACTCGGCCTCGGAGGCTCCCCGGTAGCCTCTTGTCTGCGAGGGTATTCAAGGAGTGGTGGTGGGAGAGGGGTAGTGAGCAAGGCATGGGCCTCTAGTACTGTGCCTCCTCGTGGTTATCCAGGGAAGGAGATAATATCATTGTGTTGAAGGCTGCAAAACCGTTTTTCGGGGAACAGGGTGTTCCCTCAGGATGTGATCATCCTGATGGAAATCTGGAAAAGAGGCTGTGCGCTAAGGTAGCCAAGGAGGGGGGTGGGTGGTCTCCAGTCCCCGGAAGCTGAGTTCAGTGGAGAGCAGCGCCCCCTGGGGGAAGCAAGGGGAGCCGGGCCAGGGAAAGGGGATTTCCAGAAGAGCCCCACCGACCCTCTCATCTACTCTCTCTGCCCAGGGCCCACCCTGAGCTTCTCGGGTATATTGAGCAAGAAGGGGACATTTCTTTATATCTAATAACCCAATCATCTTGGAGGAACTCCTCTCCTCTTTCAATTTAGAATATGTCTAATGCCAACTTTTGTGATGGGAGGACCTTAAGATTCCTACACTCCACCTTTTAAGTAGGCTCCATGCCCAGCGTGGAGCCCAACACAGGGATTGAACTTACAACCCTAAGATCAAGACTTGAGCTGAGATCCAAAGTTGGACACTTGACTGACTGAGCCACTCAGGTGCTCCCTTCCCCTCCCCCCTTAATGAGAATTTTTACCTGGTGGTTGTGAAAAGCAATACCATGTAAACTAAAGTGAAGAAGACATAAGGGTGCAGCTCAACAGATTATTAAGCTGTGAACAGCCACGTCCTGCTTTCCAGGCGACAGAACGCTGCCAGGACCCGCGGAAACACTGCCTTGTCCTTGCTAGGTTCCATCTCCACTCCTTCTCCCCTATGTTAATCACTCTCCTGACTTTGGGGACATAACTCCCTCCCTTATCTTTGTCATTGTGCAGCAATGACACGCATTGTGTTACTTAAGCACACGTTTCTTTTTTTTTTTTTTTAAGATTTTATTTATTTGACAGACAGAGATCACAAGTAGGCTGAGAGGCAGGCAGAGAGAGAGAGGTGGAAGCAGGCTCCCCACTGAGCAGAGAGCCCGATGTGGGGCTCGATCCCAGGACCCTGGGATCATGACCTGAGCCGAAGGCAGAGGCTTTAACCCACTGAGCCACCCAGGCGCCCCTAAGCACACGTTTCTAAAGAGCGGTGTTTAAAATGTAATTATATGGTGGACTAGCTTCCTAGGGCTCCTGCAACAAATTACAAGCGTGGTGACTTCAACACGTGTCAGGAGCATGCTACAAAGGAGCACACACACGCATTGTACCTTCCCACAATGTCAGCTTTATTCAGTCATAAAGCAAAGTTAATTCGTAGTTATAAAGCAGGTTCAGGACTCCGAACTCAGTGACATCTCACCGTGTGATTAGACTCGGCTTCTTAACACACAGAGCAGGGCAGAAGACAAACCACGCCACAAGCAAGGTAACAGAAGGGTGTAGGAAGGGAATGAACCAAACACAAAGTCAGGGTGTGGGCCCGCGGTTGAGATAAGGCCTGGGTCCGGTCCGGGTCAGCTTCAGCGCCGACTGCCTCTGACGTTCAAGCAGGGAAGGGAAGATTCTAGGTTCTGTTTAGAGATCAATCGGAGAAGTTGCCTTTTTTAAGTGGTCAAAGAGGGGTCATGTCTGAAGATTGTGACAGTTTGCTGCCCAAATCCTCCCCTTTTTAAAGGGATTTAATTGATTTCGGGGACTCGCAGACCTGCTCTGGTTCTGCTCATTATCAGTTCTGGAGTGACATCTGACGCTGGTCCCCGCAATATTGCCAAGCAGCAGTACCTTATCTGCTCATGTCATTGCTTGACACAAGCCCCTGCATGACATGAGAGACTCCATTTTGGTCGTTACAGCAAAAATGTATTCTTTCATGGTTCTGGAGGCCAGAAGTCCAAAATCAAGGTGTTGGCAGAGCAATGCTCCCTCCAGAGGCTCTGTGCAGTGTCCTTGTTTGCCTTGGTCAGCTTCTAGGGACTCCTGGCATTCATTGGCTTGTGATGGCATCTCCACTGTGTCCACATCTCTCTCTCCTTTCTCTTATAAAGACACTGATCATTGGGTTTAGAGACCACCCTAATCCAGGAGGATTTCCTCTCCAGAACTTTAACCAATTACATCTGCAGGAGCCAATCTCCAAATTAGGACATGTTCTTGGGATCCAGGGAGACAGCGATTTTGGGGAGACACTATTTAACTCACTAAATTACAATATGTATTATTTTGTGCTGACTGCTTTTGTTCAACATATTGTATTTTTTTAAAGATTTTATTTGAGAGAGTGTGTAAGCATGAGTGGGGGGAGGGTCAGAGGGTGAGGGACAAGCAGACTTTCTACTGGGCAGGGACCCCAACATAGGACTTGATCTCAGGACCACGAGATCATGACCTGAGCAGAAGGCTGATGCTTCACTGACTGATCTACCCAGGCACCCTATATTTGATTTTTTTAAAAGTAATCTCTACACCCAGTGTGGGGCTCAAACTCCCTGAGATCAAGAGTCACATGCTCTACTGGCTGAGACAGCCAGACGTCCCAACATCGTATTTTATTTAATTTATGTATTTGCGAGAGCATGCCCATGCATGAGCAGGGGGAGGGGCAGAGGAAGAGGGAGAAGCCGACGCCCCACTAAATGGGGAGCCCGAGGTGGGTCTTGATCCCAGGACCCTGAGATCATAACCTGAGCTGCAGTCAGATGTTTAATAACTGAGCCACCCAGGTGCCTTCTCTGAACATTATACTTTAAAGATTTACCCATATCATCAAATGAAACACTATTGTATTCATTTTCATTGTTTTATAGTCTTCCATTGTGTGATAACTTGACACTAGGATCCAGAAGCTGAAGAACCTCCAGCCTTCGGGGTCCTCCTCTTCCCAGATCCCTTCCAAGGCTCTGGGAGGAGCCCTAGCCGTGTGTTCACATGATCAAATATTTTTATATGATTTGTAAAAGTAACTTGTTATACTATATTTTCTACTTCTAGCTATGCTTTTTCTTGCCTGACTGGCCTGGATAGAAGCTCCAGTCTAATGTTGACTAAAACTGGTGAGAGCAGACTTCCTTGCCTTGTGTCTGATCTTTCAGAGGATAGCTTTCAGTCCTTCAACACTGAGTATGATGTTTATCAGTGGGTTTTTCATGGATACCCTTTATCAGGTTAGGAAGTTCCCTCCTATTTCTGGGTGTGACTTTTTTTTTAATGAAAGGATGTTGGATTTGGTCGATGCTTTTTCTGCATCTATTGAGATG